TACAGTCAAATGATCAATGTCTTCTCACAACAAGAAAGAGAAACTGGTACTTTTTACAACTAAGCTTCATCTGAAATGGGTCAATCAAAATCTCAATGTTTTCTTAAACAAAGAGAACACAAACAGGCATGAATATCATTCAGCCAGTTCTAGGTAACAGATGATTGCTCACCTGAGGAGTTCAAAAGCAACAACAAATCTAAACAATAATAACAACAATAATCATCACCATAGATCACCATGTGGGTAAATTATGATACCTAAAGCACTCTGGAAGCAGATCTCTTTACCAGTGTTTTGGAAGGCTGGAATCAACCCAGAGCCTCTTGGTGCTTGGAAAGTTTTGACAATAACAACTGTGTCATTTCAAAACTTTGCATGTTAAGCTTAAGAAATATTTTTCTGAACTTCTGTGTAACTCAGAAACCAAATCCTTCTTTCCTCCTCAAAAACACTGCTAGATTTTGAAAAACAGATCTGGCTACAAAAGGGACTAACCATCCTGCAGGAAATTCCAAGTGTTCCAGATTTTATAACATTCCAAATTGGAACACCACCTTAAACCTCAGAACTTAATGAGAACGGGAATATTCTGATTTGGGAACATACTAGCACAGCCAGGCCTCTCCATTTACCAAGACAGCTCATGGGGAAAGGGACACAGCCAGCCGACAGCGGGTGGGGAGGATGGAAATCTGGATCCAGACTCACAAGGGAAAGCCTTATTTGGAGCCGGAAGGACACCCAGAGCGGCTGAGGGATTCAGGAAAGCTGGGAAGCCTGCAACCCAAACGGGCCTGGAGTCTGGGGGGGCCATGGTGCCCACATTCCCTGCCCGACAAGCTGCTAAGGGTCTGCAAAACTGGAGGCTGCTGAAGCCACGGCAAGCTTTTCGCCTGGGAGCCGGGCCTCCCGCCGCCACCAGGCTCTGGAGCTGCCTGCACCATCTGGCCAGGCACCAGGGAGAAGTCACATCCCACCCGGCAGAGGCGCGTGCCTTTCTAGCTGTGCATTAGAGTTGAGTCAGGATCCCCTCGTTCCTCAGAGGTCGGAACTCGCTAACAGAAATCCCGTTAGAACATCTGCTGACAAGTCTCTAGCTCTGAAGGAAAAAGAAAACCCTCTATTAAAACACAGAGAGTCATCAAATGGTTGCTGTCTGGCAGGAATTGCTCTCAAGTTTCAGATAACACTCAGTTCTCGGGCTAAGTACGTCACCCAGAAATGAATACAAATTAGTAACCAAGTTCTGGCAGTATTAAACTAAAAAGTCAGAGAAAACTGTGGTCCAAATGTTAGAGGCATCGTAAAGCAGCGCTGTTGCTTCTTGCTGCTTTGAGATCTTAGTTCTGTATTATTGGCAACCTGAAGTGTTCCAAGATCTTGAGCTGGGCTCTCCAAAAGAAATTTTGACTAAAAATCAGAACAGTTTAAAAAACAACATTTGGCTTCCGTTTTGTTTGCCTTCTAATTTTGGAACTTGTAGTGCTCATGGTTTCAGATTTTGCCTGGAAATATGAGAGCTGGAAGTTTACATTTTGAAGAAATGAAAGCTGGCTTTTTTTGTCATCACATGACTCCAAGAGCTGGGGCTTGAGGGAAAAACATAAAACATTGTCAGGCTTTCTACAAAATTGTGAGATTAGCAGCATCGGTTTTATCACAATTTAGGCTGCAAAGCTGACCTATTTTATCAACAGTGCCCTACTGAATATGAACTTTTTAATGCATTTTAACAATCATATTTCATTTTAAACATAGTTCAATTAAAATGACATTCATCACTGCGCTTCAGAGCAAACTATTCAATCGTCAACCTGGGCTAGACTTCTTCTCTGAGCAAGCAGAAAGTGTAAACTGCACCACCCCACAAAACTTTGCATCTCAGAGACACCCCTCAAGGCAGAACACCACGCATGCTCACCGCCTGTCCTGGGGACTAGCTCAGCATCATGACAAAGGAGCATCTAGCCTTTGAGTTTCGTTCACTCTCTGCCCACCTGATGTGACAGCTACAGAGCCTCAGACTTCACCATGTTCTAGGGCAAGGACACCAGGAAGGAGATTGTGGCCTCACAACAGAAGATGTGGAGGTCACCATGAGAGTTCCCCTGGGGCCCTAAAGGACAAAACTACATTTAGTCCAAGAACTTGCTGAGCCGTACTCGGTGTCTGCATGCTCTTTCCTCAGCCTGTTCTACAGCTGCAGATCGCTACAGCTCTGAAACACAACCCGAGATCTTTGGGGCTGTTGATGCACAGGAGTTGACAGAACAATGCATTCCACTTTCATTTCTGGTAAAAGAGCAAGACTGAGGTGTGCCAAGGAGCAGACCCCAAATACTCAGCAGGCAGAAACTGTTAAAGTGGAAACCTTTTCAATACACATACACACAAAGATTAAATAGAACAGAAAGCAGTGTGCTTGGGAGGATGCATTCCAGAGTGGCATAAAATAAGATGGGAGGAGGTTTAGTTAATTATTCAGAGAAACTCAAACCTCTTCACAAATTAGGTCTAAAACATCCTGAAAAGCGGGGGGTGGGGGGGGAAGACAAACATTTGCCAAAACACAAAATCCTGTCTAGATCACATTTTAGCATTTTCAGGTCATACAGATTCTTAAATTTAATCTAATCTGCAACTTTTCTCCAGTTTAGCATCAACTCTTTACTTAACTCTCTATATGTAAAGACGAGCTGTTTGTCTTCTGCATTAGTGACACCTCCTTCCAGGTAATTCAGAAGAGATGGACTTGAAAAAGACATAATGTCTATTAGAGGCTCACGTGCCAGGTACATTTTTCCAAGCTCAAGTAGCTAACACATCTTTCTTCAGCATCACAGAAGTGGCTACTTTAATTGAGCTGTAGTTATACTCAGCATTTACAGTCCTCTAAGGAGGAGAGACACGTTGCAGTCTCTCCCTGCTTATGTATTGTGTGTGTATCAGTGATCGTATGCTGGGGTAAGGAGAGAGGGAACTGTTTCCAAGTTAGCGCACTTAGAGAAAGGAGTCATAAATCATGGGGTCAGTCAGGTTGTGCTTTTTTTTAACCTTAGGGTATTATGTTTTCAATACAATATTTCAATAGCTTTTTTCTGTGTAATAATTTATCTGGAATTATGGCAACCCTTACAAGCTTAGAAAAAATTGGCTGAAGTAAAATGAATCCTTTGTCATAAATAGGTTGTGTGCGTAACTGCAGTCTAATCATTCAATTGCACATAAGTCAAATAGTTATCCAGACTTTGTAGGAATATTTCCCTGTCAATAAATCTAATGCTATTTAAAAACTCCTGGCTGATGTGACAGAAGCCTGTTAGATTAATTAGGGCAAGGTCAGAAAAGCTGAACTCACAGTTACACTCATGTCACAGTTTTGTTCCACCTACCATAACCTGACTGTAAGCTCACAGACGTTTTAAACATAGGCATGTTAGGGTGATTTCATTGTCTCCATTTACATACAAAGGCAGATCTCTTCAGGAATTATTTCTTCTCTCTGAAAAGAGTAAACTAAGCACACAACTGAGCAAAAATGTTTTGCTTTGATTCACTGTCAATAAGGGTTTTTTCATTTTCAAATGTTTTTCCCTATCAGTGTCTTCACAGTGATTGGACTGCAACCAGGGTTCATGAGACTACAAGACCATGCAGACCACAGAACTGTCAAGAGGCAGGCAGTATAATCAAAATTACACTACAAATAGATCATCTCTGTGGGAATGAGAGGACAGTATTGTCTCTCTGCCTGTTCAATTCTTGACCTGTATCTTGTGACCATCCAGAAGAAGGGTACCCCAAATCTGATGGGTTTTGTGTGAAGCGGACCCTGGAAATAAAATTCTAACCTTGGCAGGGCCAATATTTCATCTGAAATCCCTTGAGACAGGCCTCCCAAATAATTTCTGAGGCTTGCAACTTGTATCAGATGGTAGCTAGCTGACTTTCATTTACTACTGACTTAGGTCAAACTTGGACCAGGGATCAAGAGATGAAAGGCTCTATAACTCATTATCAATAATCAGTGTTCTCCACTACCCTAAAAACGACATACTTCATTCTTATCTACAAGGCCTTAAAACTTAAAAGGGTTGGGGTCAAATTATGTTACTTCAATTTATTTTTATTCACTGCTTATAAAACAACCTCCCCTCTCACTGCCATAGTTAAAAACTAAAAATGTAAATACTTTCCTTGCTATTGTAGAGGTTCTACTATTGTTTTTCTTTTAAAGTCTTATTAAAGATACAGCGGTAAAGAAAAACCCCTCCCACACACAAATTTAGAGAGGAAAAAAAAAACAGAGGTCAAGGCCAAGCCAGGCCTTACCAGTCTCAAAATTGTTTTCAGCAAAGCACATTTTGTGTAGAAGTTGCCTTGTAACAGAGGGGTGGACCTTCCCCAGAAGTTTTACATAGTTACACAAGTCCTGATACCGACAGAATATCCTCTGAAATGATAGAGCCAGTTTTTCTCCTAGTGTGAAGCCATACAATTCCTCTCATTTTGCTGGAGTTAAGTTTTCTTAGACCAGTTATGGATACGGCCCATAATTTTAGGCAACTAATTCTGAAACGTTAGGGAGAAGCTTTGGAAGGAAAACCGTGTTGTTACTGAACAAACAGAACATAGCATCTACTTCCACAGCGACTTGCAATGCTCTATAAATAATTGCATACTTAAACAGACAAGAGATTTTACCATGATTCTAGGTATCTGTAAAATGTCAAATCCCTCCTTTGTTATTCTGTGAAAACCTTCATGGGCAAACTGAGTTGCATTATTCCCAAAACAGGGCCATGCATATATATACATGGAAGAAAAGTAATGAAATACAGTCAATGGCATGAAAAGAAACTTGTGAATACTTTAAGGAAAAAAGAGGTTAAATAAAGTTTACTGGTTACACTGGGTTAACAATGTTTTTTCTACTACTAGGAGTAAACCACTAGATACCTAGGACCTACACAGTTTCTCTCCTGAATCTAACCAACCTTGCGACCAGTTTCTTCTTCAGACAAAACTTCACCCGAAGTGTTGAAAATTTCCAGACTTTCAACACCTGGGGCACAGGGAAGGAGAGACATTTGATTACCAATCACTGAAGAGAACTGCTTCTGAAAAACGTCAAGACTACAGTTGTAGGGGATCCATTGCAATCCAACTCTTTCTGGCAATGTTTTTGCTCCTCCTGATCTACAGCTGAAAGAGGATTTGGTCCTGCAAACCCTTGCACACACGACCAGTTCCTCTCACATCTGCTTCCTGATCCCTACAGGAGCAGTGTTAATCATACAAGGCCTTCCAGAAACTGACCTTTTTTGCCTAATGACAGGTAACATCCTCATGTGTTTCCATAAAAAAGATGTAAGCCATTTGCAGAGATTCTTAAAGAAGCTATGACACTAATGGCTGAGGGAAAGCGTGGGGAAACAAGAAAGGAGACAAGAGAGATAACAGGGGCATGGGTGGAGACGTAGTCTCTGACCTGGATCTGTTGTTGGAGAAGGTTAATTTTGTGTTGCTGCTGCAGGAGCTGCTGCTGTTGTCTTGCAATCTGTGGAGAAAGTGCACAGAAGAAACATGAGACAGGTATCACCATTCCTGGAGTCAGTACACAGGAAACTTCCACCCTGCTTGGTTTTTTAAACCGCTCTACTAAGCTAAGAAACCTTCAAGTGTGGGTGGCAGCAGCCTGGACTGCCGCTGAAGCAAGGGGGTCATGTTCAGGAGCAATTCACAGCTAATCCTATGAGAGAGATTCTTATGGAAAGTGCTGTGCTGGGTATTAAGAGGAGGACTGATGCAAAATCTCTCCTCTCTCATTATCTGAAATGGGATTGCTGAAGTCCCCCAAAAGTGAGCACTCATTTGTTCCAATCTGCTGGAGGAAGAACAATACTGGCAGAGAAGGTGGAAAATAGTAGAAGGCAGGAAAGGCAAAAAAGTAGGATCGACAGTAACATTATTTTTATGTTTGGCACCACCTATTCAAAAATTCCAGAAAAAAAGGAAATCTGACACCCAGGAGGAAGGTATTAGTGTGCATATTTCCTTGATGCAGAAACAGACACAAAGAAACTGGAACGGGGTTTGGGAAAATCACTGACTCTTCAACATGTATATTGGCTGAAAGGAACCAAGGGGGCTGCTGGGCAAGGCTACACAGCTCAACATTGAAACTGATTTATAGAAGCTGATGGAGTAGTTGTAGTCTCCTCTCAAAGTCATCTGTGTTCTTCATAAGGACTTCCATCCTCTCTCTCCATTGACTAAATGATGGTGAACTTTACTGTAGACACATTTTATATACAGCGAAGGTAAAAACAGACAACAACAGAACGAAATTAGAGGTTGCAGAGGACAGATGGAGATAAACCATTATATATCTCAAACTTAAAAGCAAACTTGAAAAACTTCTAAGTCATCACAAAAGCTCTGCTCTCATGAATAGCTAACACAGCAGTACAAACATTAGAAGGAGGATTGCTCTTCCCCTATGGCATGTGTACGCATCTCAGGGTCTGATGGGAACTTATACATACTTATTGGGAGGAATTTTGCGCATTCTCCCCCTTAGGTATTTTCTTTCATTTCTATTATTAAACTATTAGCATAAGAAACACTCACTCATAGTTAACTCCACATCTAAAAGTTCAAATGTTTTCTTTCTAGAGCCTCTCTTTAAGCAACCAATACTTTTTTGGAAAGTTTGGTTATTTTAATTTCTATATAATGCAGAATTATACACAATTCTTTTAAGTAAAAGAAATCCTTGTTATCCTAATAATAATCCTGCAGGATTTCTTACTGTTTTTTGCCATTCTCTCCATTTCCTTTTTCACCTTCAGATTGTTCAGCCATCCTGTAGCAGCAGTGACTTTACAAGTTAGGGCAAAAGAAATAGTCCCTGCAGGATATCTCCTCGTGGAAGAATCTTGCCAATTCCACCTTCACACCTTCATCTACCTTCTCCATGTAAACAACAGTGTGATACAAATTCTCTAGTTTAATAGAGAAGTCACTTATCCTGTTCTCCCTGTGTGGGATTTCAGGTGTGAGGCCAAAATACATGGTATTTAAGATAAGGATTTAAACAACCAAAACCAGGGAAAACCAAGGCTAAAATGTCTGAAGATGTCAGCAGTGGTTTAGAATCTTAAGACTTGTTTGGTACAATACAAACATTGATGTATCACAACTATGACAGATTTCAAAGAATTTTGTGAGTTTCAGAGAATTCACATAGCTGAAATTCTGTGATATAAACTCAAATGGCATTACAAACTGAAATAAATGGTCAGGCAGACCAAAACGCTTTCACATAAGAGGTATCAGGATGGACTCCTGACAAAATTTTAAACCAGATATCTAAGTATTCTTTGCTCATGTTCAGGTTCAAAAATGGACATTCATTTCTGTTAAAAATTGCACGGTGCTACTATGTTAGAAAAGTTGTGTTCTTGCATAAAATATCACGTGTCCATGTGCACACCTTGGAACTGTTCATGTGTGACAACATGTTCATGTTTTCAGTGGAGGGCATATTTGCAAGAGCTGAAAATTGAGCCTCTCAAGCACAGAAGAAAAAAAAGTCACACTTGTTCTTTATATTCTTCTCCCTCACTTTTTTGCACAGTTGGCAAAACGAGCCTTTTCGTTTGTCATATTACAATCCAAATGACGCATTTTCTTCTTTTTATACCTATTCAGTATCACTGAATTCAAGCGGCATTGGAGGACTATTCAGGAGTCTGTAAACTTATTTACACTTATTTTTTAAAAAAACACTGTTGGAAGATACTACTTCCAAACTGGAATATGTACCTTTAAGAGACAAAGAGCACTATTTTATATATTGCAAATTTAAAGCATTCTTCCGACATGTTTTTGTTCAAACTTTTTGACCTAAAAAAACAAATGGAAAAAAAATTCCGGATGGACAGCAAACTTGAAAAGTATCAACCCTAAAAGATAAGCTCCTGGAAAGTCCTTCTAGAAAATTATTTAAGCTGCAAGCCACTGTAATAATCACTCACCTGTTCTTGTTGCTGCTTAGCCAGCTCCATTTGTTGGCGTTGTTTCTCGATCTGTGATGCAGCCAGTTTCTTCTGTTCATCGTGAGCTGCGAGCAGCTGTTCTCGCAAACTGGTCAGCTGATTGATCATACCCATGAGCTGCCTTTCTTTCTCAGCGAGGCTTTCTGGAGTCCCTGGGCATCATATGGTGGGGAGGGGGGGAAGTAAAGAGAAGAGAGGAAAGTTAGAGCTAGCCAGGTTTTTATTTTGCAGCTTCACTGTAAGCAAAGTTTAGTAGAACCAAAGAGCAGCAGCATGTTGCAATATACTGCACATTAAGACCTGTTCCTCTACAGGAAAATAAGCCATAGGGGATGATTCTATACGCAGGCTTTGATCTAGTGTCCCCCTTCAATGTTTCCTTGCCCTTTCATCTATTTTCTGTTGCCTTTTTATCAGATTAATAGGAGGAAAAATACTGTTTTGAAAGAGTTTCAAATTGCAAACGTTTATATTTCGTGAGGATCAAAATCAACACTTCCCATTTCGAAAGACAATTACATTTTTGTCAGAAACGTATGACAAAGACACATCAATGGTTTGACGGTTACGGAAGCTGTAAGGTGTGTATTGACATCCCTCTACAATCAAGGGGAAGCAGAGACGTCTCCTGGGTGCCGGATACCCCGCCGGCTCCCCACGCCCAGCGTTCTCAGTTACTAGCTCAGCACACTACAGCTGTCAGGACACTACCCGTTATATCATCTGCAGCTGCCCTGATTAGGATGACATTATATAGTATTTAAATTGTCAATAACTACTACCGCTGCTGCTACCACTGATGAGTATTTTTAAAGGAAGAAGTCTTGCACAGACATATCAGAAAAACTGAGTTAAACACAACTCACCATCTCTCTCATTTGTCCTGTCATTAGATGTTTTTTATAGGAGAGTTCAGCGGACACAGACAGAGGAACTGACTACCTCGCTCTCATAATCATTCCGTAAAAATTCTCCTTCTACCCAGAAGAACAGTGGTTATAAGGGAAGGAAAGAAAAAATTCCAAGAAAAATCAAAAGCTGTGAGTCATACACTAAAACAAAAAATGGCACTATTACTATATGCAGTATCATTTGACTTCAAATTTAAAAGACCAGAAAATATGTGTAGCAGCTAATCCACAGATATCTCCAATACCACCACACCCTCTCACATGAGTCAGATCCTATGAAATCCTTTCTCAAAAAAGCTTTAGGAAAGGATTAAGGCTATCAGTGTCTATGGCTCCTCTGAAAACAGCCTGCTTTCAGGACAACCCTGCCACACAAACCTTTCTCAAACACAGGAAACATTCTTCTGCCAATGTCACCAGTGCTCTCCAAGTGAAAAAAAAAGGAAGAAAAATTGGCGACTATACTAAACATGTTCCTAGCCAACTATCAGTCAGACATGGAAAAGAGCTACTGGTAATAGCTCATTTAGTCTACCCCCCTGCCAGTGCAGGAATGTTCCCTACAATATATTTACTACAGCTTTCTAGATTGGATTGAAATGTCTGAAATGGTGAATCATCTACTGCTTTCTTTGGAAGATTGTACCACAGCCTTAGAGGTGTCAATGTGAGGGCTCTCTGCTTGATATTTAGTTTAATTTACATTCACTTAATTTCAACCTTGCACTCCCAAGCAACAGCCCATTTGCTATGTTAGCCAACTCCAAGCCCTTAAATACATTTGTAGACAGCCATATACAAGTGGGAAAACACAAAGACTCAACATTTTCCTGTGAAGGAAATGTAACTCGATTAATTTTCAATTAAGATGCTAGAGATTTATGTGAAAATATCCTCACCACATAGCAAAGACCTACAGCAGAATATACTCAGATATAGCCTCCAGAATCCCTGTGGTACAAGCTGTAAACTTGAGAAAGACGCTGAAACAGAAACCATAGGACTTTAAACCTGTTCTTTAAAAAGCTGTGAGAAAGAATGGAAACCAGTGCTGAAATACTAACACTGCTGAAGAAAACACTTTTCACTTACAATTTTGATTTCAAACATTGGAGACAGAGAACTGCTACAAGTCATGTATTTGCCACTTGGCCATACAGTCAATCGGAAATGTCTAGTGTCACTCTTCCATCCTTCACTTGTTTTTCCCTAGGAAGAAGGGTGCAGTGTTTCCAAGTAGCACAGAAGAATTCTTCTAGAAGGCAGCCCCTTCCTTGTCCTATTCGCGACTAGCCTGTCAGTTGACTGTAATGCTCATCCTAGAAGACTGTCAGTATACTGACCCTGGCAGTATAACATGCTGGGCACACTGAAACATCTGAAAACTAAGTATTTTAATTATTTATTCAGGAGCTATTTTATTCCAAAGTTGGTCGGTGTGCACAAGAGAGAGGGAGAAAGACCTAGAGGGAGAAGGAATACACAGGACTGGCTTAGTCCTAAAGTTAGGGTAAGCAAAAAGAAATCGCTGTCAAATAAACTGTTTGACAAATACACTGACACACATCAAAGATCTTCAGCCAGTACTGGTTCATCAGTGTATTTTGAGCTCCCACAGTAGTTTTCAGTTGGGAATCAAAAAGCACTTTGTAAAGTTAAATTAATCCCCACCACACCTTTGAAAGGTGGAAAAATGTTTCCATATGTGTAAACTGACAGACAGAGGGGTCACAGAGTTAGTTACCACAGCGGCAGAAAAAGAAACGTTGATATCCAGCCCTGTGCTGCAAAGCTCAGGCTCCGCTTCCCGAGAGCGCGCGGAACGCTCCATGTGCGGCCGCCCTGACTGCGACACGAAACAACTGCACAGCCGTGGGGTCATCCACCTACTGATCTGATTTACCTAGAGAGGAGCAAAAAACTTCTTCCTCGGGAAAGCAACAGCTTTATTTGAATTGCAGGAACGAGAGGAAAGTCTTGTTGATGATGATGAACTAAGAGCAAGCGGTCAGGGCAATGAAGTGCTGGTGCAGAGGCCGGAGTTGCGGGCACACCTCAGACGTGCAGCTGGGGACAAATCCACCAAACTCCATCTCTTCATCGTTACTCTGTTTTTAAAGAAACGTTGAGATGCCCAAAGGGGGTGCTTTATGTGCTAACATAGTAAGTACAATACATAATTCCTTTGGTTTATAAACTGGAGTGGAAGTAGTCTGACAAGAGGCAGCCTTCCTGTATTGTATTTCTTGAACAATTTCAGTTTGCTAATAAACCGAAAGGGAGAATTTATCACTGTCTACTTTTAAAACAAATCTTTTGTTGGGAACGTTTTCTGGAAAACATGGCTTAGTAGGCACTTTATTTTCATATGATGAGCCCATCCTTCCAATAACTTCAATAATACTTAATCATAATTTCAATTCTTTAAGGTATCATTCCTTGCAAAATAAGTACTCGGAGAGCCCTACTCTCAAGTTGCCTGCACAAAACCACAGGCAAGAGAGATCAGATGTGTGGGTCTACTGGAAGATGGTGAGTTTTGGGGTAGATTTCCCCTTGCCTTACCCACATATCCATATAAATCCCACTGATGATGAATCACAGATAGTTTTGAGGTATTTTGCGGACAACTGGTGGCTTACAAAAGTGTGAAAATTAAAAAGAATAAAAGTACTTGAATCAGATTGTCTTGATCATAACGTAAAGTGTTTGCATTTAGTTTAATTTTGGTATTTTTGGTTACTCTTATTACCTAGCTCACCTTTTCCGTAATTTCTGTTGTGGAAATGGTGAACAAAACTGCCATTTCACAGTTGCCGTTCATAAATTACCTAGTTTGCGTAACAAGTGAAGGCCAAATGATACTTGGCGTTATTTATGTAAGTTGAGGGCAACAGCTTGGTCACTGCACCAGTACATCCAGTCATAGGAATTTTTTCCGGTGTATTAAAATGCACCGCAGAGTTAGAGCACCAGTTGCCATTTTTGTATCCCTTTCCAGATACTCTACGTTGTGGACAGGCAAAGCTGGTGGACTTCTGTCCTATCACCACTGTTTTCTCTTTGTTAACCTGCATGAGATCTAAACCTTTATCATTGTGCGAAGTGTCTTGACAGCTATGGGATTTCCATTTTAAGAACTCGGTAGCTTACAGGGCAAAACACGTTAGTATTTTAAGTAACTACAACACCTACCGTGTAAACACAGTTGCTTAAATCATGCTACTTGGGAATTAATGAAGCACCCCCACGGCTGCTAACACTGCTAGAACTTGGGAGGCGGTGCAAACCTCAGAGAGGATAAGCCACCAGCCCCAGCACCTACCTTCAGCCGCCTCCTTACTGAACTCACTTGGAACTGCTCCAGGTAGGATGGAGTTGGGGAATGGTTCTGGAGCTGGCCTGTGCTCTACACAGAGTATCCGTACGGCTTCAGTGCTTTCACTCTAGCCACGCAGCGTGGCTGGGGGAAAAACCAAGTGCCCGTTATTGCAGCGTACAACTTGACAGCAAGCTAGTCCCACTTCACACAGGTATTGAGTGAGGAGTAAAAAGAGAGTGGCTTGCATCAATGACTGCCTCAAAAATTACTCTTAATTACCATCAGATCCACAACAAATAGATATTGCACATTTTATGTTTAACAATGCTTTTAACCACCAGACCACCTGCCTTTCAGGAGATTGCTGTAGGTGCTCATACTGCTCTCTGTACTCTATCACTGCAATAGCAAAACGTTGATTTTTCACAACTTATCAAAACAACTCAGGCAAGAGACCATCAAAGTATACGCTACGGGTTGATACAGCGAATGGCCCAAGAAAAGTTGCTTTCCAGATGCGTCAGCTTATTCTCTATCACCACAAAAAGAGACTCAGAAAGAAGAAAAAAAAAAAACCCACCCACATGTTGTGGATGGAACACCCACAGCAGATGGCAATAAAAGACGACTCAAATTAGTGGCGTTCTGTATCACCAAACCTAAACTTCGTCTCAGATCAACACTATCCATAATAGCATTTAAGTAGTAAAAGAAATTTGCTCAAATGTGAAATAAACTATTACACATGCTTAGTTCTGATTCACAGTCTCAGACTGGCAGTGACAGTAACGTTTTAATAAACATTAGAATGAAGACACCAATATGACCAAATGACACACGTAAAGTGAGAAAACGAACAGGAGAAACCTTGGCATACCCACGCAAAACAGAACCAAAGCAAAAAAAAAAGGCAGAGAAA